GTGACTGCTGTGTATAAATTCTGCCAGTGGGAATATGATTGACATTCCAGTTGTTCCAAGTAAGTTAGAAAAGCCCACAGAGAGCCTCAGTAAAAGTTAGCTATACCTATCACTGCTGCTATTATTTTTTTTTAAATTTTTACTGCTTTAATTGTTATTCAAAGCTAATTTTATTGTAAAGAAGTAAACTTGTGATTTTGCTATGACTTTTGGCTCTGGATTCAAAAGTGGATATTGTCCCCTAGGATAAAGGAGGCTGTTTGTACAGCTGGAGAGACTCTTGATCCAAGGTCTCGCTCTTGGGTGACTTGGGTGACTTTGCCCTGTGTTTCTGGACATTTAATGGGTTTTATGAAGTAGAAGAAAGACAGTATGTTTTAAGGGTTTAATAAAGTTTGGGTTGTGCTGCTCTCTTGTACTTACTGGGGTTGAGGATCATGCCCTATCTGTGAACCTTGTTGTGGCCCCAGGGAACTAAGTAAGTGTCCACAGCTAGACTTGGGGTGCGGGTCACATGGTGTGAGGATAGACATTCTAACACTGGAGCAAGTTTGGGTTAAAGAAAACTTTGGACTATGTTTTTTGTAGGGTTTTTTTTTTTTTTGGATGGAGTCTCACTCTGTCACCAAGCTGGAGTGCAGTGGCGTGATCTCAGCTCATTGCAACATCCGACTCCCTGGTTCAAGTGATTGTCCTGCCTCAGCCTCCTGAGTAGCTGGGATTACAGGCACGCATCACCATGCCCAGGTAATTTTTGTATTTTTAGTAGAGACAGGGTTTCATCATTTTGGCCAGGATGGTCTCGATCTCCTAACCTCGTGATCCATCCGCCTCGGCCTCCCAAAGTGCTGGGATTACAAGCGTGAGCCACCCCACCCGGTCTTTTTCTCTTTTTTTTCTTTTTTCTTTTTTTTGGAAACAGGGTCTCGCACTATTGCCCAGGCTGGAATACCATGGCGCAATCTCAGCTCACTGCAACCTCTGCCTCCCGGGTTCAAGTGATTCTCATGCCCCAGCCTCCCAAGTAGCTGGGACTGCTGGCCTGTGCCACCACACCCAGCTAATTTTTGTATTTTTAATAGAGACGGAGTTTCACCATGTTGGCCAGGCTGGTCTCAAACTCCTGACCTCAGGTGACCCGCCCACCTTGGCCTCCCAAAGTGCTGGAATTACAGGATTACCCTGTGCCCGGCCTGATTAGGTTTTACATGACAGTGGCAGCTTGCTGTTGGTTCTTGCTGTGCAGGAGTGGGATACAGCCAGACTGAAGTCCTGCCCAGTTACCTGCTGTATTCGAGGGGCTTCTCCTTTTAGGTCAGATCCTCAGTTATTGGAGGCCTGGGTAGAGGCCAAGAAGTGCAGTCATTGGTCATCCCTGTTTTCACAATGAGGATGGATGTCCAATGCGTGTGGTCCCCGGTCATCTCTGCTTCTAGAATGTAGGGAGCTGTCTGCCCTGCTGGAAAAGGTCCGTGAAGTCAGAAGTACCTGAGGGTGTCCAGTGTGTTTGTGCACAGCCACCTTTTAGATCCCTGTGTCCTTGACAGAACCAGTCATGGACTGAGTGGGAGGCAGCCTTTACTTTGCCTAGGGAGTTGATGCTGAGACATCCTCTGTTTTATGTCGTAAGAGTAAGTCAGTTTTTTTCTCTGGTGGAAATACTGCCTTTTCTCATGTTGGAGAACACTAAGTTTTTGTGAGAACCAATTTAATGGAGGAAGATTGAGAGAATCTCTTTGGAGATTCCAAGCTCTGGGTTACTTTAGCAAACATTTTGATAGCATCTGTTGAAAAAGAAGGTTTAGGCCCAGCATGGTGGCTCATGCCTATAAACCTAGCACTTTGGGAGGCTAAGACGAGCAGATCACTTGAGCTCAGGAGTTCAAGAACAGCCTGGGCAACATGGTGAAACCTCATCTCCACAAAAAATATTTAATGAAAAAATTAACCGTGCGTGGTGGTGCATGCCCGTGGTCCCAGCTACTCAGGAGGCGAAGCAGGAGAATCACTTGAGTCCTGGAGGTGGGGGTTACAGTGAGCCGAGATCATGCCACTCCAGCCTGAGCAGCAGAGCCAGACCCTGTCTCAAAAAATAAAAAAGAAAGAAAAGGAAAGTTTGCAGCCTTTTTTCATGTTCCTGATTGTTGGGTTACATTTGTATAAGATGCTTCTATAATAGGTTTTGTGGGAGGTGCCAGAAGAGAACCCGACATCTCACTTCTACATCAGCCAATACAACAGAAATTCACCAGAAAGGTAAAAACAGTAAAACCTCAAATAGTTTGATTTGTAAAAACATTTTAAAGGCTGGGTGCAGTGGCTCACGCATGTAATCCCAGCACTTTGGGAGGCCGAGGCGGGTGGATCACGAGGTCAGGAGTTCGAGACCAGCCTGGCCAACACAGTGAAACCCCGTCTCTACTAAAATACAAAAATTAGCTGGGTGTAGTGGCGGACGCCTGTAATCCCAGCTACTCGGGAGGCTGAGGCAGAAGAATCGCTTGAACCTGGGAGGCGGAGGTTTCAGTGAGCTGAGATTACACCACTGCACTCCAGCCTGGGCAACAGAGCTGGACTCTGTCTCAAAAAAAAAAAAAAAAAAATTAAATGTAATTCACATAACATAAATGTCATTATTTGGCCTGATCCTGGTGACTCACAACTGGATTCCCATCACTTTGAGAGACTGAATCAGGAGGATTACTTGAGGCTGGGAGTTTGAGACCAGCCTGGGCAACAGAGCAAGAACCTGTTTCTTCAAAAAAATTTTTACATGTACCATTCCGTGGAGTATTGTTTTGTTTTTAACAGATGGGATCTTGCTGTATTGACCAGGCCAGCCTTGAATTCCTAGGCTTAAGTGATCCTCCTGATTCTGCTTCCCAAGTGCCTGGGACTACAGGCGCATGCCACTGCACCCAGCTACAGTGGTTTTTAGTATATTCACAATACTGTGCAGTTACATCTCTGGTGGTTGTTTTCTTTAAATTATTTTTTCTGAATGCCAAAAAAAAATGCTTATTATAGAATGTTTTAAAGATTCTACAAGAAAGAAAAAGGAAAGGAAAAAAAAAAGTATTTCACAAAACTCCCTTCAAAAACAGATTTCACTGAGAGACCAGACTCCCCTTCATGAGGCAGATGGTCCAGGCCTGCGCGTTATCGTGTGTTTTCTAGTTTGTGTCTAGCAGCAGTATGTAGCAGTGCTCTTGGTAGTAGGACCATCTGAGTGATGTACATCTATGCCCTAGCCAGCATTATAAAAGAACCTGTCTGAAAAAACCAGAAGACCTTAAGGACCAGCATACTGGATTCTGTAGCCATCTCTACCTTCTTATCTCTAGACCCAGACAGACCCATTTGATATCCACCCATATCCCAGACAAGGAGCACATCTGGGTGGCATCTTGTTAGAAGGAGAATGCAAAGATCTCATAAAGTTTTGCCTTTACCTCTCCAAGTTTTTCAAGACAGTCTTATCAGAGTTTATTGATGGAAGAATTTTAGAGGCTAGAAAATGTATTGCAGAAAAGAAAAACAATGTTTTTATTTTTTTAAAACTGGTGTTTTGCCAGGCGTGGTGGCTCACGCCTGTAATCCCAACAGTTTGGGAGGCCAGGGCAGTGGATCACTTGAGGTCGAGAGTTTGAGACCAGCCTGGTCAACAAAACCCCGTCTCTACTAAAAATACAAAAATTAGCCAAGCCTGGTGGCATGCATCTGTTATCCCAGCTACTCAGGAGGCTGAGGCAGGAGAATCACTTGAACCCGGGAGGTGGAGGTTGCAGTGAGCTGAGATCATGCCACCATACTCCAGCCTGGGCAACAGAGCGAGACTTCATCTCAAAAAAAAATTAAAATAAAATAAATAAGCTGGTGTTTAATCGTGCTTTTCTTTTCTTTTTGCAATGAACTTTTGTGAAGTCTTAGTATGTCTGATCTCTTAAATATTTTAAAAACTTGCATCTTTGTATGAGGTGAATAAACTATTACAGTTCACAGTATCTCTGCAGATTGTAAATCAAATAATTCAGACGTGAACTAGCCAAAAATAGTAGGAATATAAGTGAATTATAGTTTTTCTAAGGAAATTCAAACTGATACTAACACCTGACTTTTGTGAAGTACTTGTGAAGTATTAGACTGCATGCTAATGCCTTTAACTAGGGTAGTCTTTACAGCATACCTATGAAGAATGTATATCTTTCTCTCCTCATGAGAAAACAACACAGAAAGATAACTCACTAAGAGCTTACCTCTTGAATTTGAATTTTTGTCACCAACACAGAGATCAGATTTGAATTTCCATCTCTGACCCCACACCTTGAGCTCTGAGCTCCTGAGTGCCCCCTGAAGTAGCAATGAGATTATTTCTCTGTGCGGTCAATGCTGCCTCTTACAAAGGATCAGGTTCTGCTTTGTATCCAGGGAAGTGAAAGGACATGAACAAGGTGACCCTGGGCTCTTCACAGGCTGTGCTGAGCCCCTAGGGTCTTGAGGGAGGCGCTTGGTGGGGTGTGAGCATCTGGCACCCCACAGAAGAACCGGTAGGGTTTGCAAACCTATAGACAGAAGGTCAAGAGATCACCTCCCAAGGGCTGGGGCCTGGGGAAAAGGCTGAGACAGTAAGTGTCTCTGTTGACCTACTTCCTGAGTCTGTCCCCAGGCCCAGTGTATGGGAGCCGAGGAGAGCTGTCTGGCATTGGGCCTTTGGGGTATGTGTGTTAATGGAAGGCGGCCACAGGGCATCTGTGTTACAGCTATGGGGGTCAGAAAGTGCATCCCGAAGACCAAAGGAGTGGAAAGCAGGGGGCCTGAACGCTGAGAGAAACCCACCATTTGGGAACAGACAGAGACCCCACTGTCCAGAACAGGAGGAAGCGGGCTCAGCCAGCCTGTGGTAGACTTGCCTTGCCTGCAGAGAGCAGTTGTCTGTGGCCACAGATGCATCCTGGACTTAGGGGAGCAGTGAGGTAACCCTGTACCTTCTTTGTCTTTAGTCATGGGACATTTTTTTTCGCAACACGAATGCTGGAGCCCCACCGGGCACTGCCTACCAGAGTCCCCTTCCCCTGAGCCGAGGTTCCCTGGCTGCTGTGGCCCATGCACAGTCCCTGGTGGAAGCACAGCCCAACGTGGACAAGCTTGTGGAGGACCACCTGGCGGTGCAGTCGCTCATCAGGGCATATCAGGTAAGGTGGGCGCTGACTCTCCACACGGGAAAGGGTGCAGTGTTCTTTAGGTCATGCCTCATGGGCCCTATTGACCTTTCTGAGTGTACGTTGTCGTTTTACTTATACCTCCTCAAATACTAGGTGCTTTCTCCCTGCTTTGGGAGGCTAAAAAATAAATACACGAGAGAAAAGGAACCAGGCTAGCCCTATTTGAGCAAATCTTCTGGCACCACTAATGCCTGCCCCATAAAGGGCTCCTTATTTCTTTTCCTTACTTGGCAAGAAATATTTGTGGGCAGGGAAACCAAGTCAGTACCCGGGCATCAAGGAGAAGTGCTGCCCATCCACCCGTGAGCCGTGGCTGGGAGGGGTGATGCTGTTGGGTAGTTGATGCCCCCTTCCCAGTTGCTAACAACTGAATACTATAAGAGAAGAAAATCTATAGAGTTTGAGGATATGGAAGCAGGGAAAGGCAGTTGAGGGTACAGCTGAGCCTACAGAGAGTGATGAGGGGCAGGGGAACTCTCCAAAAGCATTACAGTTAGTGGCCAGTCTCATTAGGCAAGTGTTGAGCAGGACAAGGCTTTTCCTCCTTGTCCTTTCCCAGAGCACAATGACAGAGTTTTTCTAGGATGTCCACCTGATACATGGGGAGAGCCCAGAGTTCAGATCTTAAGACTTCATCTGTGATAGTTCTAAGGAGGACAGGTGGAGACAAGTGAGCCTGGTGCTTCCCTTCTGGAAGCTCCCATGGGCGTCCAGGACCCTGCCACCTGTACTTATGTAACTGCTTTGGTGGCAACAAGGGGACTCATGTGCCTGGGCTGTCTTTTCTCTCTCATGCTTTGGTTTCTGGTGGCGTGGGCCATTTCCTGTGCCAGCAGGGCAGCAGTGCAGGTGTTGTAATAGGGCAACATGGGGGAGGTCCTGGGTCTCTGGCCCTTCATGCCGTGGCCTGGCAAGTAAGGCTGTCTTCCCTAGGGCAAGTGTATTCTGCCTTAGAATGGAGATGCATGGAGTTTTGTAAATGCCATAATGCTTTAAAGTGCTGTCCACGTGGATATTTGCATAAGGAGGAGGCCCAGTGGTGTTTCTTTATCACTGCCTGCACACAGTTGGCCTCAGTAACAACTTCAGCCTGATCTTGCAGTGACTTACCAGCAGCTGTTCCCTTCTCAAATTGCTAGCAAGAAATAGTGAAAGAATCTTAAATTGGAAGGGATTTTCTTTCTCCTTTTGGTTTTTAAATAGTTCAAATCAGATGCTTTAAGTCTGTGGTATAGCAGGGTTTTTTTGTTCTGACTACTATGTGCTGACCTACTCGGCAGCAGCCGGACCGGAACCCTCACTCCTCACGGGGATATATAGTAAAGGCAAACCTTCTCTTAGTAAGATGACCTCTTAACTGCACTCCTTCCCAATAAAGGCCAACACTTAAACCTTCATTTTCCTCCTTAGGAAAATTTTTCTTTAAATTTGATTTATTTATTTTAAATTGAGATAGGGTCTCACTGCATTGCCCAGGTTGGCCTCAAACTCCTAGGCTCAAGAGATCCTCCTACCTCAGCCTCCCAAGTAGCTGGAACTACAGGCATGTGCCACTGTACCCAGCACCTTAGGGAAATGTTTATATTCTGAGCTGAGGCAGGCTTCACATTGGAATAAGAACTGTTCAGCACATCTCATTTCTGTTTATCCATGGAAACTGTATAATGATCCCAAGAAAGGATTGTTTCAGATTCCTAAGTTTGTCGTAACCTGAGTTTATCTCTTTTTTATAAAAGTACGTTTGTACACAGTAGTGCTTTTAAAATAAGTTATTCCAAGACTTTTAAAAACTAATTTTGTCGTATGGGTTTATTGGTGCTGTGTTCCTCTTTGCAAAAGGTTTGCATAATGTATGACTCTTTTAACCCTCCCCACAGCTTGCTGGATCTGCTTAATCACTTACTTGTGTTATTGCTTCCAGGTCAGGGGTCACCACATTGCAAAACTTGATCCTCTCGGAATTAGTTGTGTAAATTTTGATGATGCTCCAGTAACTGTTTCTTCAAACGTGGGTGAGAATTAAGCTGTAAATGCTAATTTTAATGTAATTTTACTTTTTTTTTTTTTTACCCCTTCCCTCTTTTTTTTCTTCTGTCCTTTTGTGTGTGTCCTTCCCTCTCATCGTTGCCCACTCATAGATACGAGGGCACCATGTAGCACAGCTGGACCCCCTGGGGATTTTGGATGCTGATCTGGACTCCTCCGTGCCCGCTGACATTATCTCATCCACAGACAAACTTGGTGAGGGTCTGAGAGCAGTCAGCTGCGTTGCTTGAGCTCCTCTCGCTGTGCCACGACCTGTGGTAGCCAGGATGTCCAGGCAGGAGGGAAAGGCTCTTAAGTTTCCTTTCGTTCTGATCACTTAAAATTTATCAGTATTGCAGCCTTAGTGTGTTTTGGGCAAGTTATTTTTATCTTTTTCAGCCAGATTGTCTAAGTCTCAAAATTTGAAAATAAAATTTTGGACAGAAAGGTTTGTGGCACAGGGAAAAAGCTTGTCCACCTGGGGCAGGTGGATCAGAAGCACTTCAGAGTATAGCTCTTTTGGCTTCAGGTTTTCAAATGTCAGTGCAGCACTGCCTTCAGTGAGGCATATCCATGAGTCCTTGCTCAGGAACTGCTGACACAGCCATCCTTTTCTGAAGCCCGGTGTGGCCTGCCCTTGACCAGAGGCTGTGTCCCTTAGGGGACGAATTCCAGAGCGACTTGTGCGGTTTGGGTCTCCTGATTTGTAATTGCCGGTGATCACACTGAGGAAACTTTGGAAGGCATTCCCACAGCGTCAGGAGGTCAGGGCCTTTGGGAGGTGCATGTATGGAGCACATTGGGGTTTTGTCACGGTTGCCAGAAGATAGTCCCACCTACATCCCCTCCTCCTCATGAAGTGAGGTGCTGTGGCTGGGCTCTCACCTGCAGTTGCTTTGCAGAGTTAGTCTGCTTTACGTCACTGTGCTGCTAACCTGTACTAAAGAAATTATGATGTGACTAATTTTTAAATGGCCAGGTTGTTCACAATAGACACTGTGCATGCTGATGAAATTGATGATCACTTACCTGCCTAATACTGCTCTTGGGATGGGTACGAAATTAGCCTCCTCACAGGCACTTTCGGGGAATAGTGCAGTCTCTAAGGTTCTGCAGTGCCTGAATGTCTTTATAGGCATTACCAAGTTATGTCTAGGGGATGAGGCATTAGTCATGAAACATCATTGACTTTGGAATTGGCACTGATGGTTTGTAATTTTTTTTTTTTTTTTATACCAGCCCTTTAGCAGATTTAGGAAGGGAGTTTAGAGAAATCCTCTTGAATTTTATTAAGGTCAGTTCAGATTATAGACTAGGCACGAGTTGAACCCTGTTTTTTCATTCCGTGGTGACAACTTTGTGTTCCCAAGAAGAGGGCCTCTCTTTGCAGTGTCCCAGGAGGTCTTGGAGCCTCTTCTCTACTGCTCACCCCTTAGTATAGAGATTCTCCCCGCTGGCACCCCCAGTCCCATCACATCCTGTCTGCCCTGAGCCTCTCCAGCCCCCTGTGTTCACTGCCCCCAGAGACTTCTAGACCTGTGGGGTCCCCTTCAGGTGCTCAGAGCAGGCTAAACTCCCCAGCTGGTAGACCTGCTGCTCCCTGATGAAGAGCACAGGCACTTGCACCTGGAAGCCACCTCTTCAGAGGAAAACATCCCTCTGCATTTAGGCAGGGTAGGGGAGCTGTGGAACGCACGTTTTCTTTTTTCTTTTTCTTTTCTTTTTTTTTTTTTTTGAAACAGAGTCTTGCTCTGTCACCCAGACTGGAGTACAGTGGAACAATCTCAGCTCACTGCAACCTCCGCCTCCCGGGTTCAAGCAATTCTCCTGCCTCAGCCTCCTGAGTAGCTGGGACTACAGGTGTGCACCACCATGCCAGGCTGATTTTTGCATTTTTAGTAGAAATGGGGTTTCGCCATGTTGGCCAGGCTGGTCTTGAACTCCTAACCTCACGATCCGCCCACCTCGGCCTCCCAAAGTGCTGAGATTATAGGCGTGAGCCACCGCGCCCAGCTGGATTGCTCATTTTTTTTACAAGCAGCAAAACATTCGAACAGGAGAGGAGCAGATGAAGTGACCAACTCTCCCTCTCCTGCCAGAACCTGCATTGTCCCAGCTGCTGTCCCAACTCTGCCCGTTAGTATAACTAGGGGAGCTCTAAAGCTCTCCTCTCTCCTGCTTCAGACTAATATCAAGAGGGGCCACACCTAGGTGAGCCCAATCCAGCATAGTCTTTTAAGGGTGAGAAACCCTAAGCACTGTCAACATATGCACTAATTTCCCATCTCATTAGTGGCCAAGGCAGGGCCAGAATGTAAGAATATCTTCCCAGGCGATCACAAGGTCTCACCATATATTTCACTCTGGAATAGTGTCCTCAGGTATTTCTGTTAGGTTTGTGGTTCCAGATTCAGCAACAACATCATGGTGAGGGTGAGAGAACAAGAGGACTTTATAAACCAAGAAACTAAAACATACAGAAGTGGCCCTAAAGCTTCCTGAAATCCTTTGAGGAAGGAAGACTTCTGACCTCTCTGGCCAGGAACCCTTTGGAACCACTGAGAGAGAGAGTCAGGGAGTAGTTTCTACGTTTCAAGAGGAAGGTGCATTTTAATCCTGTGGATTTGAAATAGTGTGACCTAAAAATCGCAATAAAGTCTTCAGGTACAAAAAATGGAAACCGTGTAAACTTGTTAAAACATCTGGATCTGTAGAAAAATTGGTCTCGAACCCTCACCCTTGATGTATGCAGGTTTTCAAGAAAACAGCAGGTCAAATGTGACCGCTAGACAGTTTGTAGAGCACTTCAAGACTCGTCATCTCATTCGAACCTCAGGGAGCCTGGACTCTGGAACCACACTCCCTGGATTGGAATCCAGCCCACTATTACTAGCTGTGTGACCTTGGGCTAATTGCTTAACCTCTCTGTGCCTCAGTCACCTCATCTGTAAGGCAGGGGTGATGGTATCAACCTCCTCAGGTGGTTTCAAAATTGAATAAACTCCTTAAAGTAGTGCCTGGACTTTACTATGCTCCAAGTGGGCTTACTAGCAATCTTTTGAGATGAGTAGCTGCCAAACTCTCTGGTAATAAGATAAATTCAGAAACTGAGAGGTCAAGCAGGAAGACCAGGAACACACAGGAGTTAGTGGTGAAGACTGCCCTGTAGCCAAATGATAAGGAAGCAGCGTAGCATCTAGTGTAGGAATTTGCAAACTAAGAAGTGAGAACTCTACATGGGGGATGTTTGGGACCCAGAAGAACTGTTTGCCAGCTTAGGAATGGGGCAGTAGAAGGGGATAGGCTGAGTGGCCACCTGGTGACCTGACCAGTGTGTAGACTGTGGGTCAGGGACCATTGTGCGGTAGTGTCCAGTGTCACATGACTATTTCCCCAGAGCTAGGATTCTTCCCATGTCTCCACTTAGCCGCCGTTCCCCCCGCCGTGGATGCAGGCACAGTTTCTGCCTCTCCTTGGGGAAACAGGCTCAGAGCAGTGATCATATCCATGTTTGAACGTAGCCTTTGGTGCTTCCGTCAGAGCTTTTTCTGTCTTTTGTTGGAAAAGCTCCACGTAGGGGGCAGCGATGGAGGGCAGGAGCCGTTGGCAAAGCCATTCATTCTCAGAGGGCACTGATGATGCTGCCCTGAAAACACTCTGCCAACTGAGCACCTGGGTGGTTGGCCAATTTGGTCTGTAGTGCAAGCAGGGAATTCTGTCCACTCTGAGTTTTTTAATAAAGTGGAATATATGCTATAGTTTCCACTGAGTTGACCTTTTATGACCATTTTTGAAAAGTTTGGGAAATTCTGGCTTAGGGCACCTGTCTTCACTTCTCAGAAATTCTCCTGGTCCCTGAAGTGATAAGGAAAGATAATTAACAAGTAGACTCTTGCCAGTTAGGAGAGACTCTACAGACACAGAACTCCTCAGTAGCGCCAGAGTGTCAGGATTTACCATCAGATGTTATGGACACACTCTTGCCCTCAGTTTTATCTTTCAAGTGTAGCACGACAGAATTTGTTACGAATACAGTAAAAAATATTGTTGAGATGGTAGGGCTAGCGTTTTATTACTATTATTATTAATTTTATTTATTTAATTTTTTGAGATGGAATTTCGCTCTTTTGTCCAGGCTGGAGTGCAGTGGCGCCATCTCGGCTCACTGCAACCTCCGCCTCCCAGGTTCAAGTGATTCTTCTGCCTCAGCCTCCCGAGTAGCTGGGATTACAGGCACCCATCACCATGTCCAGCTAATTTTTGTATTTTTAGTAGGGACCGTGTTTCACCGTGCTGGCCAGGCTGGTCTCAAACTCCTGACCTCAGGTGAGCCACCATGCCCAGCCTAATTAAATTTTTAAAATTTAAACAGAGACAGTTTCACCACATTTCCCAGGCTGTTCTCAAACTCCTCTGAGCTCAAGCAATCCCCCTGCCTCCACCTCCCAAAGTGCTGGGATTACAGGAGTGAGTCACCATGCCCAGCCTAGTGATTATTTTCATTAACAATTTTTAAAATTAATTTTAGAACAGTTTCTCAATGTGTGGATTATGTTCCATAATTGTGCAGGTGATGGCCTGAACGGAGGTAACTTTTTTTTTGAGACGGAATTTCGCTCTTGTTGCCCAGGCTGGAGTGCAATGGCATGACCTCAGTTCACTGCAACCTCCATCTCCTGGGTTCAGGTGATTCTCCTGCCTCAGCCTCCTGAGTAGCTAGGATTACAGGTGCCTGCCACCATGCCCAGCTAATTTTTTGTATTTTTAGTAGAGATGGGTTTCACCATATTGACCAGGCTGGTCTCGAACTCCTAACCTAGGTGGTCCACCCGCCTTGGACTTCCAGAGTGCTGGAATTACAGGTGTGAGCCACCACGCCCGGCCAGAGATACCTTTTTAATGAAGTGTCAAAGTTAGGGGCCAGTTTCCAGGTAAATCCCCAGATGCCCATCTTAATTTGTGCCAGGCTCTACTATAGACCTCATTTCCCTTGGGAAAGAAGGTTGAGCATTCCAACATGAGATGCTTTATTTTTTTATTTTATTTTATTTTAAAAATAGAGACAAGGTCTTATTATGTTGCCCAGGCTCATCTCGGACTTCTGGGCTCAAGCAACCCTCCTGCCTTGGCCTTTCAGAGTGCTAGAATTACAACAGTGAGCCTCTGCACCCAGTTGAGACGTATTGAATACACATTTCTCTTCACTCACATTCCAT